ACAGCGATGTCACTTGCGTCGGTGACGAGCTCGAACGGACGGTGGGGATCTGCAATGTGAAGGACGGGCGGGGAGCACAAAATATTTTTGAGGGCCGAGAAGGCAGCTTGCTCTTTCTCCCCCCACGTGTACTCAACCCCCTTCCTCAGCAGGTCAGTCAACGGGGCAGTCAACTTCGCCATGTCGGGGACGAACCGGCGCACGTAGTTGACGAACCCCAGGAAACTCTGCAACTCGGTCAAGTTGGTCGGCGCGTGCCAAGCCTGAATCGTCGCAGTTTTCTTCGGGTCTATTTCCACTCCTGCAGCTGAAATAACATGTCCCAAAAACTCCAGGCGGTCCTGTAAAAACTCACACTTAGATGCTTTGGTCAGTAGGCGGTTCTCACTCAGGATTTTAAAAACTGCTTCGATGTCTTGTAAGTGCTGTGCTCTGTCAGGGCTGTAAATCAGTATGTCGTCCAGATAAACAATGACGCACTTATCTAAAAGCGGGCGGAATGCTTCGTTCATGGTCATTTGGAAAGTGGCGGGGGCGTTGGTCAGTCCGAATGGCATGACGGTGTATTCGAAGGATCCGTAGCGTGTTCGGAATGCGGTTTTAGGGCAGTCGGGTGGGTTGACGCGGATTTGGTGGTAGCCTCCTCGGAGGTCGATTTTCGAGAAAACCCGGGCTGTGCGCAGTTGGTCGATCAGTTCGTCGGCTCGTGGGATGGGGTAACGGGATTTGATGGTAACCCTGTTCAGTGCCCTGTAGTCGATGCACATGCGAAAACCCCCGTCCTTTTTCGGTGTGAACAGTATTGGTGCGGCGAAGGGCGACGAACTAGGGCGAATGAATTCCTTTTCGAGCAGGTAATCGAGCTGCTTCCTTAGTTCGTCTAGTTCGGGTTGGGTCAGTCGGAACTGTCGCTGTACTGTTGGCTGTGCCCCCGGTTCCAGTTCTATCCTGTGATCGTGCGGTCACTGAGGTGGCAGTCCCGTCGGTAAGTCATCCGGGAAAATGTCACTGTACTGTTTTAACAGTGCCGCCAGGTCACTCGGTACGTCGGTCAGCAGTTTCTGTAAATCGCCCCCCTTGTCTGCTGCCTCGGCTTCCCGAATGTCAACCGCGTACACGTCAGCTCCGGCCGCTACAGCGCGTTTCATCGTGATCGCATTGACACGCACCGACGAAGACTCAGGCGAGCCCCAGCGAGGTAAGGCGATGTTGTTACCGTTCACTCGCACGGTGCAGTCACCCGTCGTCCAGTCAATTCGCGGATTGTGTCGTCGCAGCCAGTCACGCCCGAGTAAAATGTCGGTTCCGTCGAGGGTCGTTGCGAGCATTTCCTGACTAAACGTGAAGTTACCCCCGCATCGAATCCGAACTCGGTCTACGCGTTCCCGTATTGCCAGCGGCGTGCCGTCTACCAGTCGTGCGTCGATCTCAGGTAAGCATCGGTCCAGTGGCAGTCGCAGTTTGCGTGCGGTAGCAGTGTTAATGAGGCTGTGGCTGGCTCCCCCGTCTACGAAGATTTTAACTAAGTCCGTCCCAATTTTCCCACTGAGCAGTATAGGGCTATCTACCGTGGTACCCTCCTTATTCGGCCGGGTGTGGTCGATTGCGTGAACCGGCACAATCACTCGGTGAGGGTCGGTTGGGTCGGGCGAGCGGCGTGACCTGTCAGTAGAGGGCCCGTCTGCTACTGACTTCCAGCGTTTCCCTGCTGCTTGGTCTGTGTCTGCTGCTCAGCTTCCCCCTTTCCCTTAGCGTTTTCCGGGCATTCGCTCTTGCGATGTCCCGGCCGATTGCACGCAAAGCAGCGCCCTTTGAACGGTGCGGCAGCGGCATTTGCGGCGACGGCGCGTATCGTGGCGCTCTCGTTCGTCCCGCGAGGCCGATGTCCCCAGGTGTTGTTTCCGTAGGACCCCGGTCTCGGTCGGCGAAAGAAGTCGAGCTTCTCCGCCATAGCGAGAATTTCCTGAAACTCAGTGACGCCGCGAAGCTGGATTTCCTGAGCGATGTCCTGCTTCAGGCCGCCGATGTAGCGGTCGATGCGTTCGCTCTCATGCATGTAGCCCACCTGCTCGCATAGCGCCAGAAATCCGCTCGTGTAATCCTGGACGGAACCGAGTTGGCGCCAAGTGCGGAGCTTCTGTCGCGCCGAGATCGAGGCCGCGATTGGCTCAAATCGAGCGCGCAGACCTGCGCACCACGCGTCCCACGTGCGATACTGGGGCACCTCCACGAAATACGACGGCGCCCAGGGTCCGGTTTGTACTTCCCGTGTCGGTAGTGTCGCGTAGTCGGTCGGCTTCGTGACGATGACGCGCCACCAGTCCATGGCGGGTCCTCGCAGCAACGACACGGCGTATCGAATCTTCGCCGAGTCCTCCGAGACGTAGTTGGCGTCGAAGAAAACATTCATTGTGAATAACCACGCCTGAACGGTAGGACCACCCCGTTGACTCGGGTCAAAGCATGGCGGGCGCTGCGGCTTCAGCGGCATCGGTGACGGCAGTCCCGAATCGTGGGTTGGTGCCGAAATCGTGACGCGAGGCTGGCTTGGGGCCGCAGGCGTCGCTCTGGGGTGTGTCGTGCCGTGGTCGTCGTCTCCGTCGGGGCGGACGACGCCATCACTGGCCGCGCTCGCGGGTTGCCCCACACTCCCGTGTTGTGATGTTGAGGGTGCGGGTTGAATCGGAGTGCCAGGTGCTTGAGATTGTGCTCTCAGGAGGTCATTTTGCAGCGATGAGCGTTCTGCCGTTAATGCCGCGATTTCCTCGGAGCTTTCGTGCAGTTGTCGCAGCAGATCGTTCAAACGCTCCTGCGTGAGAGTGGTGACGTCGATGTTTTCGGCCATGACGAAGGGCGTCGGCTCGTCTTAGTCTAGGCGCAGTCGTGGCTGCACGCGTTTACGAGAGAACGCGAGGACAGCGGCTCCTAGGGGCTAAGGTGCGTGAGTCCCTTCGAGTGAAAAATCAAAAGTTGATTTCCTGGTGTGCGGAGATGCGCGGTCCGAAAGAAAGGGGCTCTGATAACCAAGTGTTACGGGTGCAATGAATCGAGGTAGCGAGAATTGCACTAAGGTGTCAAACGAGTACAAAATGTGAGCGAAGGCATGAGCGAACATTTATACGCGAAACATGCAAAACGGTAACGCGGTGCGTGCGAGCTTGCTAGTGCTACGCTGGAGCGAGGCTCGGGCTAGTCCCGAAGCGTAGGCCGATACGGCCATGCCAGCAGTGCGAGGTTTGGTAAAACAGTGCGCGCGAAGTCGGCGAAGTTCCGTTAGCAGTAACGGGCGAACAATCGGCTGTTGCTGTACGCGATGTAGTCGGCTCCGTAAGGAATGCCGAGAAAATTCCTTACACTTTCCCTTTCACGACGAGAGTCTTGCGAAACACTGACGCAAGGAAAGTGGAGTGTGATGGGTGCAATCGGACAGCTTGTTCCATGGCGCTGCGTGAAACCAAGGGAATGGGAAGGTTGGTTGGTGTGGGGTTGCGCCATGGAAAGTTGGTGAAGATAGAAAGCTCGCCCACGTCAATGGCCTCTTTCGCCAAACTACGCCGTTTTACGAACCACGAAAACGCTCCGAAGATTCGCAAAGCGCTCTACACCGCATAGCAGCGTCGGCGTTTTTTGAATCAAAGCCACCGTGAAATTGAAGACTCAGGCTGACCAGTGGTTGGTATGGGGGTTTGGGAAGGTGTGACGGGGCAGAGAATTACGCGATACAGTAACTTTCCGTTTAAAAATTTCCTCAAACTTCAACAGTTGTGATGCACTACATATGCGTTGATAGTCTGCAACAAAACGTTTCGATTGCTCGTTTGCTCGTTTGCTCGTTTTTTTTATTTTCGTTTTTTTTTCTCCCAAACTTCTGTGCCAGCCAGCCACATGGACATTTTGAATCGCCTGTTGCAATTACGGTATCATCCTGAATGTAATCTTTACACAATCATTCAATTGCACAAGTAGCATACAGATTCGCACCTCAATTTTTAATGGGTGATTTGGGAAGTCTTTTACTGTAACGCGTTTATCTTTGCACCATGGGGCCTTGCCCCACCTCCCCACCAACCACTGGTCAGCCTGAGTCTTCAATTTCATGGCGCCTTTGATCAAACAACACCGACGCTGGTATGCGGTCCAGAGCGTTTTGCGCATCTTTGGGGCGTCGTTTGGTGAAAGGCGATTGACGTGGGCGAGCTTTTCATCTTCACTAGTTTACATGGCGCAACCCAGCACCTCACCACCCAGCACGATTGCACTAGCTGGTTCTGTGCATCATCTCTCCATCGCACTGCTCTTTCCTTGCGTTTGTGTTTCGCGACAGACGAGGACAACGACGACATTCTCGGAGAATCAGATGCACGAGATTAGAATTCCACGTTACAGTCGCCATTTGATAGCAGCAGGAGTCAACTCGACTTCTCCAGCAACAGTAGAATTTTCTCCTGCAACGCGCGCACGCCGCAACGGCACACGAGCAAACCGCAGACGTAATAGCACCGCGGTGAAACAAGAACACGGGCAGCGCTCGCGGAGAGCATCGATGGGGCGGCGTTGCTCCGCGGCGATGGCTAGGCGCGGCGGCGTCATGATGGTGGCGCTGGTGGTGGCGCGCTGCTGCATGCCCCTCGCACGCGCTGCTCCCGTCGTGGACGCTGACAGTAAGCCGTCGTGATAGTAAACCGTGGTGACAGTAAGCCGTGGTTACAGTAAGCCGTGCAGGCCACTTTCTTCCCTCCACCTCCTCCTTTAAAACGAGAACCCTGACATTGAGCCGTTGTCTTATGTGCTGTGCCGAGCTGGGCGGGGGTGATACTTCTCTAATGCCTCTTGCTATACTGATTCATGCTGTGCTCGTGTGCAATAGTAAATTTCTGAAATGTGAGATAGTAAGATCTCGTGGTGGTTATGTAGTGCAAGTTCGAACGCGCTGCATTGCTTCATCCTCTCCCTGATTTTGATCCGCCCTTTAACACTGCTGCTCTTTTTTAACCATGAGTATGGACAAGTTCGAACATTCTGCACTGCTTCTCATCCATCCATTCCCTGCTCTCCTCTCTGCTCCCCTCGCTCTCTTCCTCGCTGCTATGGCCATTCATGCAAGACATTGGAATGACATGGCATGTTAAGGTATGCATGGCATGATGTTGTGTGGTGTGACATCGTATGGTGTGGCGTGGCAATGAGTGCTCTGCAAGGTATGGTATCGTTGCATTACATGGTATGGGTGAATGGCATGGGTGAACGGCATGGGTGAATGGCATGGGTAATGGCATGGGTGAATGGCATGGGTGAATGGCATGGGTGAATGGCATGGGTGAATGGCATGGGTGAATGGCATGGTTGAATCATGGCAGTGGAAGTACTGGAGAAGCTGACACCCGCATGGTATCAATTCAACGGCACGGATACATGGAGTAGGGGCAGAGATTGTGACAGCATGGCTCTTGTGCACTGTGATGACGATGGGCATGTCATTGCACTGTAAGCATGTCATTGCACTGTAAGCATGTCATTGTGGCATTGCACTGTGAGCATGTTGCATCCAGTTCATCCCTGCATTCAACCCTCCCTCTCTCCCTCCTTTCTTCCTCTGCTCTTCCTTTCCCCCCTCCCAGCAACGCA